TTATTATTATTATTATTATTATTATTATTATCTCTGTCAGATATTTTTATCTGAGGTTTCAGTGGAAGTTCAAAGTGGATATAAATATGGATGTTTTGTTTGTCAAGCACAGTTTAAGCTGGTTTCCTCTCTCACCCCATGCTGAGCGTTGTGGAATATGAGGCACTAATAAAGAAGCATTATAATGCACATTTTTGGTAAATTCAACTTACTAGAGCTCTTGATCTCATTTGGATTTGCAAAATCTTTGAAGGTTAAGCTGTGCTCTGAAGGTCTTGCAAAAGACAAAGTAAATAAGTGGATCCAAGCAGGCGTTCAGTACTGTGAGCAGGACAGTGAGCTCCTTCAGGATGTAGAAAACCTGCTTTGCTGTGCAGTCTTGCAGCAGGGGTTTGATGAACACGTACGGCAGTCTCACCAGATGATACGGTACAAAGCACACGCAGAAAACCACCATCAGAACTTGCATGTTACGCTTTGACTTGCTGAGCTTAGCGTTGCCAGGCTGATCCGGCATTGTGCGCTGAGCTTGACGAAGCTTCTGTACGTTCAACCAGTAGAACAGAATCAGGGATACCAGCACACACAAAAACAATGGAAAGCAAATGATCTGCAAGGCCAAGTAGATCTGTTTGAGTAAGCTGTTATGAAAGCTGTCACAGTCGAAACCACTGTGGGCAGAGGTTTGTTTATCAGCGCTGACAAAAGCAGCAATGTAGGCACAATTTGAGCACAGCAGGACGACCCAGGTCATGATGCAGATGTAGCGTGTGGAGCGGACTGTTTGCAGCATGTGAGTCTCCAGTGGCCGTGCGATCTTCATGTACCTGAAACAAAAGAGCAGTGAATTGTAGAATACAGAGAAATATGTCATATAGAGCTAGGGCCATCCTCTGGAAGCAATGCTGTTTGTGTCTCCATGACTTGCTACTGATCATTTCAATAAGCTTTTAACCAAACAGACACTTTTATCCAAAGCAACTAACATTAGATTCTATCAGTGCATATAAAACGATAATAAAATTAAAATGTGGTGTTCATTTACATTTTTTATTTTTTTATTTGACAATGCTGAATTTGTCTTTTTGTCTCTTATTTTCTGTTCAACCCTGTCATGCTGTTAAAACATATTACTTGGATATTTCTGAAGTCATATATGAGGAAGCTATATAGTATATTAAAAGTCCTTGTTCAAGACTCTATTATTTTTATTCCGTATTTTAATTACACATTATAACTTAAAATTATGCAAAAT